CACTTGGAACAAACTGTCTACCTTCCTCTTGTCCTTCACCGTGGCCTAAAATGTAAGCTCATTTATTAGTACTGCTTCCCACGCATACTGCCCAGTCCTGTTCTGTGTCCTCTTTCTGCTATTCCTCTCCCTTTTAATCTTTTTCTTCTGAGGAAAAACTCCTTTCCCTCTGGGCCCAGCTCTCCGCAACCTTCAGCAGTGAGGTGAGGGGTGCCATGGCTTCTGATATTACCATCAAACCTCCTTTCCCTCAAAAGTTCATGCCATACGTCTAAACCTTCATCATGCTCCTTCATCACTGCCATCTATGCACCATGATGGCAAGCATATAGCAGGCACTCAGTAAATTCTGATTGAATGGTTGATTCTTTGATAAATGACTGAATAAAAGCTGTTTTCTTGGTCGTTCTTCTGCGTTTAGTTGAGGCTTTTAAAGTCTGGCCCACTGTGCTCCCTTCTACATCTTTTCCTACCATGATTCTTGGTGAAGTGTCCATAGAGGACCAAACAAAAATCCCACCTCCTGTACAATCTCTTGATCTCTCCAATGACTTACTTACCTTCCCTTTACCTAACTCCAACCATCCGGGTCACACCTATAACTGCTCAATATCCTCTGTTTGACCACACCTCTGATGCTTTAAAGTCTCATACACCCTACCTTGAATCCCTTCATACTCTGATTTCCCCACAGTCTTTTCCTGGCCATGCTTCCCTCCCTACACATTCCAAATCACTCTCTCAAAAATGCACTCAACACCCTCCACCCTTTTGCTTCCCTTCAGTTCTGCCTAATTCATTTGCATGTGGGCCTAGCTTGGAGCCTAGATCATTATCTGCTTCCTTTGTATGCCTGGACTGCAGTGTGTGGCTCAAAAATCCTAACCTTGAGGCCTGGTTCTATTGCCCACTATTAGTCTCTGCAGGACAGAATCTTCAACAGCTAGACCAGCTTGTCCTAGTCCATGGTCAGCCATCTCTCTCACACTCCCCAGACATTCCCCTAAGCTCCCTAATCCTACCATGCCTCACTCACAGCAGACAACCTTGCCTCCTCCTGTAGCAGACATGCAATTCCTCCACTTCCCATCTTCTCCACCAACTAGTTTACTTCTGAAACCTGCCTAGTGCCTTCATCCAGGACCTGTACCAACTTTTATTCCTGTTCCATAGGACTCCTAACATCGTTCCATTGCCTCTGAGCCCTTGTTTCTTCGATCATTTCACGCAAAAAATACTCATCAAGATTACTACATAACAGGCCCTGTTCTAGATGCTGGGATACGGTAGGGAAACCAAGACAGAAAAAAATCCGGCCTCTTGCTGGGTGTTAGGGGAGTCGGTATGAAGAATAAACAATAAACAAAAACTTCAAGTAAACAGGATAATTTATCTTTTCATAGATCTCATCAATGGAACGGGGGGGCGGGGGAACTAGTGTTGAACCTTGAAGGACCAACTTAAGACTGGCTGAGAAGTAAATCCTCAGTTGGTTCTCTCCAGCCTCCAGTGAGCTCTCGTCTTATTCTAAAGACAGCCATCCAACTTTCCTTGTCCCTCCACTAACCCCTACCTACATTTTTCTTCATCCCTGCTCTGCGGTCTTTAAAGATTACTCTACATGTGCTATCTCTACATACTTTCCTTTTTATTGATTTTTTTTTCAACGTTTATTTATTTTTGGGACAGAGAGAGACAGAGCATGAACGGGAGAGGGGCAGAGAGAGAGGGAGACACAGAATCGGAAACAGGCTCCAGGCTCTGAGCCATCAGCCCAGAGCCTGACGCGGGGCTCGAACTCACGGACCGCGAGATCGTGACCTGGCTGAAGTCGGACGCTTAACCGACTGCGCCACCCAGGCGCCCCTCCTTTTTATTGATTTTTAAAGTTGAAACTGTAATACATATAAAAAGCAATGGGAACAACAACAAAACTATAGGGAAAGCTCTTATACTTTTTACCTGTCTGGTCACTCTTCAACCCATCGCAATCCAGCCTCTGCTTTACCACTCCACTAAACCATTCTGGCAAAGGTATCTGATGATTGTCCCCCTACAGGGCCAAGTGAATGGACATTCCCCCTTTACCTTATCGTACTCAGCACTCTCAATCCCCATTACCTCCCCTGGCTCAGATAACACAGTTTTGTGAGGTTACAACACAAGCCCTTTCTTCTCTGATGCCTTAAACACTGATGTTAAATGCAGAGTTCTACCTTTGTCTATCTTCTCCTTCTATAAGCACCCACCTTAGGTAGGCTGACCATGTAATTCTTATGATCCTAACGGAGGGTCTTTGAGAGTACAAGAGGGCAGTATTAGTAATTATTACTCTTCATTAGCAGGTGTAAACCAAGACTGTCCCATACAAATCGGGATATATGGTCACCCTGCTGAGGTCACATGCAATATTCTGGTTTTAACTAACACATACCTATTAAACATTTGTAAAACTAAATCTGTAGCCTTGATACTGACATTGAGCTTTGTTTTCCAAATCTTCAGGTTATGATTTCTCACAGATCGCATAATCAGTAGGGCCAAAATTTAATCATTTCCATTCTTAAAACATGCTAATCCTCATTTCCTAGCCAAGTTACACATATTACCTAGTCACTCAACTCCCCAAACTGGGGACTATTTTGGACTTCCTATTCCTCCTCACCCATATTTAGTCACCAAGACATGCTGATTTAATTTTGAAGACTTCTCTAATCTTTCATTTTTCCCTGAACAACTGTCATAACCTTTTATCTGGATTTCCTTGTTCTACTCTTGTCTCCTATACGTCTGTTCTCCACAGTGCCGCCAGAGGGATCTAACAATGATACTTCTGCTCTGAACCCTTCCGGAGCTCCCTATTATTTACAGGATAAAGACTTTCATCACGATCCTATCCCTGTTCACGATTCTTTGGTCTCATAACCTGTCAATCTCCATTTGCACACTAATACCAAATTACCTGCAAACACACACACACACACACACACACACACACACACACACACTCCCCCATTAAGCTGTTTCTCACTTTTAAGCATTTGTTCATGCTGTCCCTTCCACCTGAAATTCAGATCCCCTTATTTAACTTGCTGACACTTACACCATTTTCTCTAGTCACTCACAGCTGACCCAGAGGGGAGTTCAGTACCTCTCCCTTAAACTTACATACTACCCATCCACACCTCAACCACAGCACTGGATATGTTAGTTTGAAATTAATTATGTCAGTCTTTCCTGCTAGTTGATAAACTTCTTGAGCATAAGGGCAATGACCCTAAAACTTAATAGTCACCCTATTTTTAGGAGATCTCATCCACTCTTATGGATTTAAACAAGCAAATTAAAATAAACTGGCCTAAATATTGAAAGGAATAAACAACTTCATTACTCCTGCATTTTTCCACATGTGCACATATGTTTTATAACATCAGTGGATGGACTGAAAGTGTGTAAGGGTTTCAGTGGCCAAAAATTCACCTGTTTTATGAAATTGATTTCAAAAAGTAGATCTCAGCATAGGAGACAGAATGATTAAATTACAAAATATACAGTTGTGATACACCAAAGTTAAGAAAAGAGCAAATACTTAATTGTTTAAGACTACAGAAAATCAGAATATATTTCAACAGTTGTTTGCATTGGAATATTTTGTGAAAATATCCCAAACCATTTTTTTCTAAAAGAGTAAAACTCATTCCTTTTTTTTTTTTAATTTACATTCAAAAATTCATACTACTAACTAATTCGGATGTAAATTTTAAAAAATAAAAAATAAAAAAAAATTCATACTAGTTTAAAATGAGAGAGCAGTATTGAATATCCTAAAATTTAGTATCCATCAACACTACCCAAACATCTTTCTCTACTTTCCAGATGTTACCTCTTATAATTTCCATGTTCTTATATGATTAGCTCTGACTCAGAAAGAAGGAACTTTCCACTTTGTCTGTCAAAACCCAAACTATTTGACCTTCAAGGCACAGAAAAAACTCACAATTTTTAGATAAAATGTGGTGCTCCTGTCACTTATTCATTCAAGTAATTTTGGGGGAATTAAAAAAGTATAATCTAAAATTTTAAAGAATATTATTAGCATTACCAGAGGCATAAGAAGAGCATCTGGCACAACTGGTATTCAGTGAGCAAATAAAGAGAGCCACAAAGCAATGGAACAGTCGAGATCATGAATGACTCCAAACAGTTTATGTTCTGCTGACAAAGTCCTACTCTTATGATAGTTTTTTTTTTTTTATTTCCTATTTAATCATCACTCTGTGCAGTCTTTCCTAATTATACTTTGGCTTACAAATCTTGTTTTGTGAACAGTGATTATTTTTCTGAGAAGGAAAACAATTTGAGGTATTTCGGAATTTAAAACATGCTCTGGTATTTTCTTCAAGCTGAAGATTACAAGAGTACTCACAACAGACAGGCACTGGCTTTCCAGCTATGGCAAGCATCCCAAGGTAGATCTGATGAGATAGGAATACGTCTCCCATTTGGCAATGTACTGAGAAATACGTTTGGCCAAAATATAACTGAGAAGAAGTTAAAATATCTTTAAATGTAATATTTATTTTTTATTGGCAAGTTGTTGATACTACAAAAATAGCTCCAATTGCCTGATAAATATCTTTGAATACTCCCTACCTGTCAGAAGGTGGAGCTCTAAACATATCTGAAATATTGGCTTTTCATATGTGCTTTTCACAAATGTGTGTAATGAGGAGATTAAAGCAGGAGTAAAGTCTTTGGAAAAATAGTTCTGAAGAATATTCCAATTCCCTCAGGATAAAATCACCCACATCTCCCAATATGTACATAGTTAACTAACAAAAAAGATATTTAGCATGCTCCTTTGAAACTTCAATATATTACCTACTATAAAAAGGTAGGTATGGTAATTCAGAATAAAAGATAAAATATATTTAAAAGATAAAACAATTTAAAAACTCAGGACCACCTACTTGAATGTAGGCAAGGTCATTAACACTTACAAGCATCTCGGATGTAGAGTAACATGGCTATGAAGATATAATCAACTAAACTCAGGCTGAGGCCATCTGCAAACAAGGCATCCCAGACCACCAGAAGATCCTGCAGGGGGAACTCTCGTCCAAACAGTAGCCGGACCCACCGTCTGCAGAGAAACAAAACCAAAATTCAGAAAATAGTACTTTTGAGAGTAATATAAGGAAGAGTCATTTTCTACTATAACTGTGAAAAAAATTATAATTTTTTAACTGATCACACTGAGCAAATATTACATACTGAAAATACAGTAAAATCCAAGTTTCAAGCTTTCAGATCAATTTTGTAATTTTATAACTGGGCCACAATCATTAAAGTCTATTCCTATATGTATAAAACACTAGCAGAATATTTGAAAAGGGTAGAAATCTTTCATATTTAACAGAAATCCCAAACTCAAAATGCAAAAAGGACAGTGAATGCACACTGGTCTGACAGTCACATCATATGTAAGGTTAGGATTAAAAAATAGAATTTTCCAAAATTTTATGAAAACTACTGATTTTATTATTGTTGTTGTTGTTATTGTTGTTAACTGGAATTTTGCAAATGATTGTATGTACAACAAATTAACTATAGCTAAACAGAAAATTGCATTCTCACATTTCACTCTTTAAAATATTCATTTTAAAATTAAATGTGGGAAAAAACAGGTATCTTTATTTTGGTCAAGCATAGATAGTTATTTCAAGCAAAACAAATAGTGATACTTTATTTTCAACTTTAGAATAGATATACCTCATCAGTGAGGCTATCTTTTTAGGGATGTTCTAAAATACATGGCCAGGAAAATGGGACATCTGTGCTATAAGTAGACATAATCAGCTTATAAGAATACTCAACAAGGTCTGTATATAATTATATGTCATAAACAGTTATACTTTAAACTTTCAATAAATGCCTGTAAGCTATTCATAAGTAATTCTTACAAGAAAATTAAAATAATTCACTTTGATATGCTTTTATCCATTTACCTCTAATTTTATATAACATGGCTACACTTTCCTTACACAAGACTTTCTCCAGGAATTTCAGGTAGAATTCTATGTAGTTCTGCAACATAACAAAGAAACAAAAATTCCAAATTTCGAGTATTCCAAATAGTACAGAATAGAGGAAATTCTTTAAAAAATAGTTAAAAGAGATCACCTCTTTGCAAAATTAGAAACCAAATATAACCATCTGTGGGGTTAAAGTGAGTCATCCCCGCCAAAAAATTCAAATACTTTCTTTAGGGAGTATTATATTTAAGGATGAGTCAAAGCTGTGACAATATAGTGTATAATCACACATATGTATCACAGTTATTAGGAACCATATGATCAAATACTTAAGTTTCATTCATATTATCAAATTAATCAACAGATTAAATTGTATTTTCAGTTACATCTTAAATTATGATACTCAATTTTTCAGGAAAAAGAGTTAAAGCCTAAGTAACATTATCTTTTTAAAAGTGTAACAGTATCATTTACAATTTTTATCTATCTTTCAATTCTCACTCCACTGCTAATATGAGGTGTCTAAATATATATATATATATTTTTTTTGGTCTAATATTATTTGTAGTTATGTGGCTTCAGGAAAAATATTACTTCTCTACACACTCTAACTCTTTCAAATTACAAATGCCAATATTTACTATTTTAAGAAGTACAAAAATATCTCTAAATTAAATAGGTTGCTCTTCTTGAAATGACAAAGAACCAACGAGTCTCACAAGGAGGATCAGGGGAACCAGAGAATGAGCAAATCAAAAAGCACCTGGATTCAACCATTTTAGCGACCTGTTTAAAAACAGGATCTTTAAACTGATAATTACATATGTATTATTAAATGAGTAAAACAGTTGGAATGTGGTCATTTACAGTTATTCAGCTGATACAACTGGAAGAAAAATTAATGAAAAAACTGGATGTAAAGTGTAACATGTTGATTGTAGTTGATAACACTGTATTATATAATCAAAATTTGCCAAGAGAACTAAAATATCCTCACCAAAAATAAATGAATGAATGAATCAATATAATATGTGAGATGACGGATGTGTTTACAAGATGGGAAAAACCCTTTCACAATGTACACATACATCAAATCGTTACAATGTATACTTTAAATACCATAATTTTATCTGCCAATTATACTTCAATAAAGCTGAAAAATAAAAATAAATAAGAATTATCCTGGTTTGATGGATAGGCAAATTTTGGCATTTTTGAAATATAAAATTCTGACATTTAACTGATCCTTCCTGGTTCAAATCTGGATGCCAGTATAAAATTCAAGAATCACACCTATATGATGGCATTAGCTACACTTGAGGTAAGCATAAGCATAATGTATAAACTTGTCCAATCACAATGTTGTAAAGAATTACAGCTATAAAATGGTACTATGCCTTGAACTTGCTTCTTTCATTCATGGAGGTTATTTTAATACTTTCCTTATTGGAGTAAGCCTATTTAATAACTATGGCTGGTATTTCCTGGAAGACATTACTTTTCGTTAGCCTTCTTATGTGTAGAGGAAAAATGTTCTGTGTGTTTTTCCTGCTATCTCCTATTAAAAGCAAAATGACTGTTGAAAAAAGCTGACATCATCCATCATGCTATAACAGACATCATTTAGCAAAAAAAGAAAAAAAAAACTGAGGAAAGTTAATAGATACCACAGAGAATACAATACTATCTCTTTGCCCCTTGCTTAAGGCTCAGTCCTCTCATTTTCTTATGGACAGTTGCATTGTTAGTTTCATCACAGATGGTACTTCAAGAGCGAAAAAAAAATTAGCCTCTCTTTTTAAAGAAATAAGATATACAATCCTATTATTTCTATAACAAAATGCCCAAACTTCTCACGCAACTTTCCTGCTGATTAGGATTGTGTTAGCTTAGCTTCGGCGATGACACCCCACTCATGCCTACATGCAACCATCTCGGCTCTGGCACTGTCAGGAGGGACAGCTGTAAATATCTCACAATCTACATTGAATAAAACATATCATCAAAACTGCATAGAACGTAGGTCTTCAGTACTTTTAGATTCAATGTGTAATCTGTGATGTGCTGCTTTATAAATGTTTCACAGTGCTTTATTTTTGAAGTTTCACCTTGCCAAGTACACTGCTAAATAATTCCAGGGCAAGGACCAAAACGTGCATGCGTGCGCGCGTGCGTGCATGTGTGCGTGCGTGTGTGTGTGTGTGTGTGTGTGTGTGTGTGTGTGTGTGAAAGAGACAGAGACAGAGAGAGACTGAGAGAGATAGATATCCAGAAAGTTCTTTGCAAAGAGCTCTGTACACTTTGCTAAGTGCTCTAAGTGTTTACCAAGGTCTTGATAAACTCACTGCAAAGCCACCTGTCATGCTACCGAGAGGCAAAGGTGTAGCTAAATTGAAAGTACAGGCAGTGATCTTGTTAGTGGCGGCATAAAAATAATTCAGGAAGTGGAAAAAAAAAACAGAAACACATAAGGAAAAGAATTTATTATTAGATGCCTGGCATGTTTCTTTTATATAAGACTGCTAGTAAGTTGTATATGCAAGGATATAAAATTAAAGCAAACCCAGTTTCCTCTATTTTATATGCGATTATAGGAAAATTAAAGCCAAATTCTCAAAATATTTAAGTAGTACTGTATGACTAATGGAATGCTTTGGGACCAACAATGACCTTATCAATAATTTAATCATTTTAATCCCTACTGGATTTAGTTCATACATATATTCACCACATACAAAATTTCCTGTGCTATTTTGGGCTTTCTTCATTGAGCTTAAAAGCCAAGGAAAAATTCCGTTCTTTACGGAATGAGTTACCAACAGAAATTATTTCAGTAAGCTTTTGTATTCTTAGAAAGGAAAACTTACTCGAAGAAATGAGGTCTTATAAAGAAGTCACTCCTAAAATTAACATGCTTTTATTGCAGTTAAAAATATTTAGCGTGAGTTTAATTTACACTTAAGGGTAGCATTAAGGCTTTCTTTTCCCCTTAAAGATAGCTTCAGTTTAATTGCTTGATACTATTAATCTTGCTTTAGGTATGTTACACCTGCAGATTGCAATGCTCATAATCGTACACATTTTATCACTTGTGATAATACAATAATTCACATTTTACCAGACCGACTTAGAATTAAAATCTACAAAAACAAAAAAGACCATATGAGGTATTAAATTTAATAATAAACCACCCAAAGACAGGACAGTTTCTATGCCTGCTCTTATAACACGATTCTCAATTTAAAATTTCTGTGTAATTAAGCTGCTATCCCCAGGGGATCAGTAACTCCTGATGGTATTATTGCTTGGTGAATGACCCATGGAAACACCAAGAGAAATCCATTTTTTTAGCAGTTTATGAAAATGACCAATTTGAGGTTTAACTAAACATAGGCTTCATCCAACATGGCTGAGGTAGGTTATATGTGCAGAAAGAAACACATATCTATCTTCCTTTCCTTTTCTTTTTCCTTTAATGACCCTTTAGTAAGATATAGGTATAGCCAGCTTAGAAGAACAAGTAAAATTAAAAAAAGGTACATTTGACTTAATTTAACAAAAATCATAAAGGCATCTCAAGCAACCTGTGATCACCAAATGATAGCACTGGGTAACCATACTGGAACACAAGAGAACAAAGTCAGATTCTTGTTTAATGATATTAATTTTGCTTTTTTGCTTTCTGTTCACCTGTACTTTTCAAAGTAATTAATTAATTTTTAAATAACCCATGCCTGGTAGAGGATAAACCCAGAATCCAAATTCTGTATTAGTATCAGAGAAAAACAACAGCAAACCAAGTACTCCTATCCGTGGTTGGCAGCTCCTTGAAGAAGCTGAGGCTCTTCTTATTTGGGTTCCTTTGTACTCAGTTCTTTTAAAATTAATTTACCCTGAGTTTTCCTTTACATCAACCTGTGAAAATAGTCTTAAAATCAGAACCAAATATTACAGTTATTATAATTAGGGTCACAAGGCATTCTCATCTTTAATTCTAACTTCTTTGAAGAGCGACAAAAGATGGAAACCAAAATAAAGCATTTTTTCCCAATTTCACATTCTTCTAACAGTGCTGCAGAATACATCACTGGAAGCTGCTTAGCCTGTT